CGTGTGCTTCGGAGGAGTTTCTGCTGTGTGCACGGGGGCTTAGCCTCATTGCACGGGAAGCGTACATATACACACAGGTACACCACATGTATATATACAGCCATATATAGATATATACACACAGCCATACATACACAGACATGCACACACACACACCCCTGTGTACATATATGCACACAATACGTATAAACACACACTTATATACGTATTTTATACATATCAAGGGCAAATGAGCCCTCAGTGCCAAAAGGCATCCCCACTGCTTGGGGCGAGGGGTGCTCTGTCGGCCCTGGGATGGGTTTTATCACCTCGCTCCGGGCCTTTCCAGCAGTTTTCCAGCTGATTTAGGCAACGGGAAGGAGCAGGGAGAGGGGACGTCCCCGTGCGCGCTGGCACAGCCAGGCCCTGTCTTACACGGTTGCAGAAGTGCCTGTCTGAGCATGGACAAGAAAGGCTGAATTAGGATATTTAGGTCAGAAACTCTTTTCAGCCTAATTTTACTATGCAAATTATTAGCAAATCAGCTTGAGTAAGAAGTCAAGTTTTTCCAGATCGGGTAATAGATTCCCATAGCCTGAACCCTTCTGCTGTCCCCGCACCGAGCAATAACCAGCACCCACAGCAACGCCTGCCCTGCGGCAACGCAGCCAGAAATTCAGGACGTCACCGTCACCTCGCGCGCAGGCTGCCTACCTCAGCAGCAAACCCGGGAGCGGAGGAGCTGCTACCCAAAGCTCAGCTGTGCCCCGTATCACACCGTCCTCCCCAACCTATCCAGCTGTTTCCCAAGAGGGCATAAAACTCCGGCAGCTGCAATCAGCCGATTGCCAAGGAGAGAAAATCCCCCCAGGTCACGGCTATGCCCAAAAGCCTGGGATGGGTAGCTTTAGAGGAGCACAGCCCACACGTCGTCGCCTTTCCCCGGTCTCTTCCCAACCGACTGGCACCGTCGCCGTTGAATCACCGTCCCATGACTGTTCCCCAGCGACTAAGCAGAAGAGCAGAGTTTCTTCTGTCATTTCCTGGGGGCCACAGCAAAGCAGCACACTGGGAGCATGGCTGGTCTCATGCCAAGGCTGATGCAGGGTTCAAAGCGGGCTGTTCCCCTTCTTATCCTCCTGCTAGTTAGGGGAAGGAGACAGCAAGAAAGGCCCCTTGGTTCAAATATAACCAAAGAGGTTTCTATTTGGCTCTTCCCCTGCTCCACACTCCCCTGCGAGAGCTTTGCTTCCCCTACAGAACCTCGGGCAGAGAGATAAAATAGTAGCGCAGAGTTTTGGTTAAAATTTGTGTGTACCAGCTCTTTATTCACAGCTTCAAGAGACATAAGCTAAATTTTCTGCTTGTAAGGACCAGCCACATCAGCACGGGTCTCCAGCAGACAGGAAAACAATCCTCCTCCTTGCCCCAGCCAGCCAGGCTGCAATCACCGGGGCCAAACCTCCCCTCCCAAGCTTGGAGAGCCCAGAAATGCAAATAAATACACAACTTTAAAATACATTTATTTTTACTCAAAACTGTTTAATAGTACAGTTCATGTTGCTTTGGCACACTCCCCGCCTCGGGCAGGACCTGCTGGGAGCACAGCCTTTCCCACAGCCACATGCAGGGGGCTGCAGTGGCTGGGTGGCCACGATGGAGGAGCTGGGACCTGTCCCGTAAATCACAGCCCTGGGAGCACCCAGAGCTCAGTTTTGCAGGAAGCACAGCTCTGCCAGATGGGCAAAACAAAAATCTGTGCTGAGACCTGGCACTGCCTCTTGGGAAACCAAAATATGCGTTCACATACCCCTTTTAGCTGCTCCTTCCCTACAGCAGC